GTATTTAGACAAGAAAGATGATTTAAACACTGTAACGAAAAGTAAACATTTCGGAAAAACATATGAAATAAGTGAAAAATAAAATATTAACGCAAATTCAAACACTCCCCTAAAATTTGCGAAAATAATCGCAGAATTTCGTGCGCTGGTAAAAACCACTGCCACATATTCCGTTTAATATTTCCTTTTAGTGTTATAATAAAAACGTGTTCGTTCTCAGTTCTACACGATATAAAAAACCGTGCTATATAGGGTAAATGGGAAAAAGTATGGCAAGAAATGATTATTGGCATACTGTTCGTGTAGCTAAAAAACATCACATCAAATTTATATAAAGCAAAGCTGTGATAGACTAATTTCATTTCAGGCATTAACTACCACTCTATATTAATAAATTTCAAAATTAAAGCCATATATGAAATCGAATCAGTTATTCTGATAACTTTTATATAATCATCACCTTTAGATACAAAATTAGGACACTATTGCTTATGAAGCAAATAAGTTAGACTTCTTCCCTTTAAGAGTATTGCAGAGATTGAAACGTACTGAAATACAAGTAAACTTTGTACTGTATAAAACGTAATTGTTTCATAAAAATTTTACAAATGTTTGATAATTAGGATTTATTTTATATTATTGATTGATTTTTTAAGCAGATTTTAATTTTACTTAACTTTTAACATCTGGTAAAAAATAGAATCAAAATAAACTTTGTGTTTCACTCATCCAAATAACTGAAAATTTTAATGAAATCAATTAAGTAATTAAAAAAACTAAATTCATAACGCGAAAACATTTTGAAGTCCTTTTCTACGTATAAGTTGTCCAAAACGTTTTAAAGTTCTTCTGTCTTCACAATTCTGTATAATATTTACGTAGAATAATACATTTTATTACTTTTATTTTATTTTTATCCTTATAGAGCAATTCAGTAGAGTTTATTTACATTCCACTTAAAAAATTTCGAAGGTTAAAAAAAAAAAAAAAAAAAGTAGCACTTTAGTTGATGTTATATACACTAGATGGCAGCAGCAGCTTAATTTTCAACTTAAATTTCGCTTGAGTTTGAGAGGCATCCTGTTATTTTGCTTCTGAAAAATTAAGTGTTATAAAAAGTGTCTCTGATCCTATCTAAAGACGTTAATTCTCAATAATGTCATTTTTTTAAAAGGACAGGAATTTCAAGTGAGCGCCTTAAAAAAAAAAAAAAAGTGTTCCGTTCAGACCGAAATCGTTTTAGGAAACTAACAAATAAATCATCCTGTCGTTTCACTTAATCTTGATTTTCTCTTCTAAAATGCAGGAAGGGATATTGGAAGGTTCTAAAAAAATACTGTCCCTAGAGTTCAGTTCTCACCGTAAAGTCTGTTAAAAAAAATCTAGTTTTTTCTCAGTAATATTAATATAGTTTCACACGGTAAATATTAAATGAGAGAATTTTAATAAGGAAAAAATTGTTGAGAAAAATGCATTTTACCTCGGAGAATTAAAATGACTTATTAATTATTTTTGCATTGTAACAAGAATTTAAAAACTGAGACTTTAATGTAGGCGAGGCATAAAATATAAAAATTTATAATGATCTCAAAGAGAATATTAGAATAGTCATAGGAATATAAGTAGAAAAATCTATCACATATTTGAGGCAGAAAAATTGAACTTTTAGAAAAATTCTAAATGTTTCAAATTGTATTAAACTGGTGTATTTTAATAGTTAAAAACATTATTTATTGCTCCAAAATTTTAAAGGTTGAATATAGCAATTATTACTTCAGACAGTGTTGTTACAGAGCATCATAATTCTTAGGGAATTATTAGAATTTCTGGTGTTCAGAGCTATCTCGGAATTAAAACCAAGCCTTTTCTTTCTTTTTATCCCGAAATAGTGGAAAATGTTTGTTGATTCTTCACGATATGAGAAACTATAAATTTTTTGTATCGTTTGCCTTACAGTCATTTGTTTCAATTCAGTACTAAGCCATGAATTTTCAAACAAACTCGAAATTAAAATAAATAATCATAAAATAAAATAAAAAAAATGAAATTAAAATTTAAGTAAATGAAACAAGTCATACAATATAAAAATAAAGGAATAAAATTGCTAAGGTTTTCCAGGAATTGGATACTTTATTAAAACTTCATTATCTATCTATCTAACGATGACCATTGATAAGATGCATCAAAGAGTCGATTTTCCATGCTACGTGAAACCAGAAGGTAATCAGGTAACAGAACATTAGCAGTTCAGATAATTAGTTTTTTTTTTTTTTTTTTTTTTTTTTGGTTTAAAAAATTCAAGTTAACCATTTATTTGCGAAAATTATATTTCTTACTTTAAAAAAGCCAAGGCTTTAGTGTAGAATTGGGTGCCCCTTCGATTGGCGACATTTTTTTTTTTTTTTTTTTTTTTTTTTTTTTTTTAATTTTGGCGATGAAACTTCATTTCTGGTTACCCCAATAGTTTTTTGTGTAGCGGCCATCTTGAAATTGTGACTTCCTGGCGCTGATCTTGGCGTCAAGAAAGAATCGCTAATAAACAAGGGACACCCAATTATAAACTTTTACCAAAGCCAAATCTTTTATTAATTTTTATTTCATAAAGCAGACTCGTTTCTTCCCAGAAATACTTTCAGTTGCATTACCTGTTCATTTAATTATAGTTTTCAAGGATATTAAACTCTTTTGGTTTTCAGCATTGTGTATCACCACTTATTTTGACAAATGTTTCATTTCAGGTTCACTTCAGATTTTCATTTTCAATGGCTAGAATTATATCAGTAACTGAAAATCTAAGGCTGGTTAGTCCGTTACCAACAATTGCTTGAAACCATCTCTGTCAAATTGGTAAAATCGAGTAATTTTCTTAAGACGGAAGGGCACGGCCTTCGTCGCTCTGATTTCCTCCAAACTCTTCATAATTATGTTGTGACTTATCTCACTCGTCTGAGTAACATCAGAACATGTCCACGAAATTCATCGTGCAAGGAGAGCAAAGCTGCACCTGCCATTGGCAAAAGCCTTTAGCACCATATAGGTTTCGGAAGTACGCCTTCGCTCAGTTTCGTAGAGCAGGCGGGGGAGGTGCCCAAGGGTCTTCCTACCAGCAACCTCTCGAGAAGACTTTCAGCACGCCAGATATTTAGAAGGCCCCCCACGCCACAAAGACACTATACATTTACAAACATCCATGCCTTCTCTAGATTTGAACCCTGGCCCTTCGGTACCACAGTAGGCTCCTCTAACCACTATACAGTCTGGCGGACTTTATAATTATAGAAGATTTTGAAGTAAAATTATTTGCAATCATCTAGCTTTCATTTCGCAGATATAAACAAGAAAACCAAAAACAAAGTTCTAAGCAGCATTCATATTAGTTCGGTTCCTTCATTTGGTGTTATAAGATTGATAATCAAGAATTTCCTAGTGAAATCCAAAAGGTACAGCCGTCAATATTAGTTTATCATTTACTTTTTAAAACTTACTTTGTTTTCGCACAATTTTACAATGTTTAAATGACTTTGCCGTAAAACGATCAAAACGTGAAACATTGGTACTAAGTGTTGAATAAATATTAATTAAACGTAATTATTTTTTTCAAGATAATTTGTCTTCACATGCTTTCTATGCTTCTATGTTTTCTTTACGCATTCACATCATAAATACAAGGAAACGTTTAATATTATTCGTGCGCTACGAGATCAAATTCACGAATGAATGAAATTATCGATTTATACTTTCAGAAAAATGAAGTTATCGATTTATGCTTTCAGAAAACGAATCAAACTGAAAATCATCGAGGTCAAAGGAGGGAAAAAAAAAACGATTAGAACTATTAACGAACGATTAAGTGAACATATAAGGTGTTTCTCCAGCCTTCTTAGCATGCCTTCGTGGTATAGTGGTCAGCACGTTTGTCGCGTATTCGAGAGGTCCGTGATTCGAGTTCCGGTGAGGACGTTGCTCATTTTTCATGTCTCCTGCTCCCAGAATATCCTAATGGCTCTACAACCGAATGGCTATAAAATGATTTTATTTTTACTTTGCTTTTTTTTAGAATTATTTGAAGAAATATTAAATTTTCAGATAATAAAATAATTAATGATAATCCTACTCTACCAACATGATTTCAGCAAATGAAGGAACTTAAATTATATGAATATCACTTACAATTTCAGTTTCCCTATTTATTTCAGAGATGTGCCTTATACACTTACAATTCTATTCACTTTCAATAACTCTCACTTCAATACCTTCTTTATAATAACTCTCGAATAATTAAATTATAACTCGAACTAAATAGAATTCAACTCAAAGTCATTGAATCCATGGTCGTGAACTTCCCTTGTTGGTTAGTTCTAAAGTGTTACAGTCTAACATACGATCGAGAGTAATTCAAGAACTAAGTTATAGAAGGATAGGAGACAAGGCTGCAATGGATTTACTGGATTATGACAAAGTTTAACAGGGGTACTTGCCTAAGGGAAGAAATATCTTCATAGAAAGCTTTCGAAGGAAAAGTGGCTCATTTTCAAGTTACATATGCTAAAAATTAAGAAACCCCATGCAGCTAGACCTATTGCAGGGACTTGATATAGTTGAAAACCAAATGTTCAGCCAACTGGACATTCATAGGAAAAGAGATAAGATGATTTGAACAGTTTCGCTTGCTACTCCTATATATTATTTCTATATCCAGCTTCACTGAAAAATGTACAAATTAATTTTATCTTGTTCATAAGGGATCAAAAGATAATCCGGTAAGCGACAGACTTGCAGTCAAAAGGTTTAACTGATGCAACGAATTCCTTGGCTGTTTTAGCAATGTTATTCACCTTTTCGAAACAAATACAATAAAATCTTAAAATGAAATGAAATAAAAATGCAGTAAATAAATAAATAATAAAGTAATTTAAATAAATAACAGGAACAATAATAAATAAAATAACAATATAAAAATAAATAAACATTAAACTAATCAAAAGAAAACATATTCCGAACCAATAAAAATTCAAACAACTCTGACATGAAGCAATGAATTTACATAAAAATGAAGTATCAAAATAAAAAAATATAATATTTAATTAATTATGTCCTATAATTGAAGTACAGAGACATTCTGGTACGTATCTATACTGATTTTTCTTTATGGAATAAATGACAGATGTTTTCCAAAGGTACACAGTTTTATATTTTAAGTTTGAAATATCTGGTAAATTGTTACTTAAATCTTTGTACTCCTTGCGGTATTTTCGGACACTATAGCTGACCATACATAAAGCTGCTATTAAAGGAGAATTTCAAATTATGTACTACAGGATATAAATTTTGCAAGAACAAACATTTTAAATAAGACTTGAATACATTATTCAGTACACATTTTTTTGGAATATTTTCCTTATTTTACATAAGTCTTTATAATTTAAGGATTGAAAATATTTAGGTTAATTGCGATTTTATGCTCATGTTTTTCAACACAAATTTTTCCAAATTTTCCTCAAAATTAATTTTACAAATTCCAAGACAAATGTTCAACGCATAGTTTTCAAGGTATGTCTTATGTAATAATATAACGGCAAATTTCTTTATTTAAAAAACTTTTATAATTACAGCTTAAGCAATTATGAAGGAGGAATTGAAATAATTCCTCTTTGAGCAATCATAAAGATATCCTAAACATTTAATGCTATTTTTTCGATTTGAATACAGAACGAATTTTTACTTTGAATGAAATCAAAGATAGCAATACTTCATTCATCACATTGCAAATTGAATAAGTTACGTATCTCTGCGTCAAACCCCAATTCTCATTAAATAATTTTTTTCAGCGTGATTCTCTCAGAGTGCAATATCTCACGTTAAGTAATTCTCTCAGTTTTATGGACAAACACACAAGCAGTTGTTTTTTTTCATTTCCAATACAATGAAATTCTAGAAAGAAATCGATCCTCACTGTGATATCTGGGACTCAGGGTCGGTACAGATGATTACCGGAATTGTACCGATGAAAGTAACATCTGATGATAAATTATATATTTACACTTATATAAAAATACTTCAACAACATTAAATAATTACAGAGTATTATGGTGCTTAAGAACAAAAATGTGCAATTATCGTAACTACTTTTGTTACAGTATTATTTTGAGAAAACATCGTCTATAGCAGAATATATGTATTCATTTCTAACTCATTTTTTCCTTCACGGAAATTTACGTGCTATTTTTCTAGGTCCCACTACAAAATATTCCAGCTTGTGTATTTATCCTGCATGGATATCTCTGTATTTACAATGCATATTACGAAAATAACCTATGGTTATGCTAGGTTAGCATTTTATGTGGTTCTAAAAGGTGTGCGAGTTTAGCTTTACGCTTTCGAAAATATTCACTGCTCCGACATGATCACAGTTTTAGTCCGTTTGTATTTATGCAATATGTTTTTAATTTAGAAGAACTTCTTAAAAAAATTAAGCTAACTCATCAAGCAGACATACGTACAAACAATTAAGTACATTCGGTTTGAAATACATAAAGGCAAATATATACATAGAAGCTACATAGCACCAACACTTTACATTGTTTACATTCTATAAACATGGGAAGGAAATGTTAGATTGCAAATGCAAGCAAACAAAGTAGAAGATCCAGAAGTGTACTCATAGAAATCGGCTTACTTTGAAGATTAAAATTTCACAGAATTTTATTTTCTGTAACATTAATGTTATATCATCCAGTCAGTGGTGACTATGGGATGAAATCTCCTTACTTTTAGTACATTGCAACAAACGGCTTTGTTAAGCTCATGAGAAATTTCCTTCCGCACAGCTGTTTTATCATTTTTCGCTAAAGATTAAAACAACTAGTGTATTTTCACATAGAATTTATATTATATTATAATATAAAGCTATAAATAGACGTATACATTCTTTAAAGCCTGTGGGAATTTGAGCCTAGGTAATACACAAGGCATATAAATAATAATCTCGTACAATTGGTTTTGAACAGATACGTTTTGGAGAAACGCGGGCAACGAAGAAAATCAATGCGAAAGATGTGAAACTGCTCTATCAATCTATTTACACCAATATCATTCGAAATGCTAAGTTAAATGATTTTTTCTACAAATGAGTGAATTTATTAATCAGTATTAAATTTATCTACAGAATTTAGAAAAAAAAAAAACATTTTTTCCCGTTTTAGATGTAACTTTAAATTTTGTTTAATTTTATATTAAACAAAATAAAATTTAAATATTTTAGCTATCTATTATTCACGAACAAATTTACAATTTAGAGTATTTACCGTAATATTTTCAATAAAACTAAGAAATAATTTTCATTTTTGTAAAAAAAAGAGTATGACTATGTTAATGGATACAAACTTTTCCCTCTCTCCGAAGGCAAAGCATTCCTATGAATCCTTTCTTAAATGGAAATGCTTTAAATTGAAAAAATGCTTGTCATTAACTTATATGAAAAGTTTTCGGGCTTTTTTAGCTTCGAAATATTGCTAACCTCCCATTATATCTATTAAACGATTAAATCTTAAAAGAGCGCTATTGTACAAAGTTATTAAAGATTCCACGAAGAATTCCAAAATTTACAATAAGCAAGCTACGTAACCGATATCAAAACTTTTTATACTGGGTAACAGTAGCAAACTAAGTGTTTTCGTAATATTTCGTAGATTTTTATCGTTGCTGTTATACATATATGCAATAATCTGTTTTATTTCGTCCCACAAAATGCCATAATATAAACATCAACAGTAGTCAAATCATCAGTTAGATGGTTGCGAAGTTTTTTAGAGATCGGGAAGGGTGACAAAACTCCACAAAAAATGTCACACGGTCGAACGGGAAGATTAAGTAGCCCTCTCATTATTGTGTCGTTTCATATTCCGGTACGCCCTAGCAACCTCAGTGGAAAGTTTAATAAACATATTCTCGCTTTCTGCTCTGTGTGCAAAGTTCGACTGCGAAAATTTTGCAAATTGTCTCTTTAATTATCTCTAAAGAAACGAGGTAAATTTCATGTTAATGAAGATAATCATTACCATTTTATTCAGTTCTGGCATCAGTCAGTTTTTGAAACATAATCCTCTCAATGACTTATCAGCGAAGGTGTCCGTACTGGATGCTCGTGAAATACGTAAAAGAATTTTAATTAGTTTACTTCTGTTTCAGTGTTATGAAATTTGATATCGATCGCCTAGTATATTTGTTAGCGTTTTTTTGAAATGCTTCACTGATTATTAATGTGCTCTTTCATTTTAGTTTCTCTTTCCGCAGGCGGAAAGACAAAGCTGAGAGCTAAATAATTCATTATTGGTCTTACTGGAGGTATAGAAAGATAGAGAATGAGGAATATGTAGCTGAATTGTTGCTTGAACTTGTTAAGATACTTTAACATCTAAGAAATTTTTCACCTGCTTATCTGCTTCTCTATCAAAAACGGTTAAATACGATAAGACGTTAGACTCAATATTTGTCTACCAGACATTTTCTTGTAAACATACAAAACATTCTGCAAGTTTTCCTATGATCCTACTTGATATTTTAAAATTACATTTTTACGATCATTCTACAAGCGCCTTTTTTAATCAATAATTTCACAAAAGCAAAAATTCTAATCAGATTTTTTTCTTTAAGCTAAGCCTGATGTTAAAGGCAATTTTTCGCAGAGCAGGGAGAACCTGTACCATGATCAACATATATATATATACATGAACGGTGTTCATTAAATTGTGATTGAATTTTAGATAAACTGACCTTGATAGAATTAAATCATACTCCCGCATAATAAATTTGACTTTTCTAAAATGAGTTTAACCGATATTAATGGTTGGTCTGCAGATATACAGTTGAAGTTTTAAAGCCACAATTAAGATACAAAACTGAATTATTATTTGAACAGAGCTTAAATGTTAAATTTGTTCCCAAATAGTTTATAGTATTTCTAACTAAAGGCCCTAATTATTCACTTAACACAAATGCATCTGAAATTATCATATAAATTGTATGTCGACGCATACTCATCAAAATTCAGAGTATCCATTGTTTATGGAGTTTCATGTTATTACTCCATTTAGATGACGTTAATTAAATGTCAAAGAGAATTCTACTTCTACTCATAAAAAAATACCATATTTGTTCCTTATCAGCGTCTCTATCAGAAAGTACATTCTGTCTTCAGCAACTTCCATGCTTAGATGATTCAGGAACAGTTCAACAGATTGTATTCTTCTGATAAACGAAGAAATTTGTCAGCTGCATTAAGCATATATTTTTATGCTACGGACTCATTACTGTTGATAAGGGCGTTCTGAGATTGGGCAAACAAGTTAACTAAGCCGATACTTTCTTGGAATTCTTCTGGATCGGTTTCTCGGGATTCTTCTGGAAGCTGATCTTCATCATCATTTACTAATACGCTTGTGTACTGGATATTCATTACAGTATCTAAAGAAAAGAATAAAATTCAAATGGAATTTCATTTAACAAACGAAAAAGCTGCTTTAAGATAAGGCAAAAGTATTACATTAATCTGTTGAAGATTTTTGATTAAGAGTCTACCAGTTCAAAGAAGATTACGTTATAGATCTCTTTTTTTTAGTGAAAAGTAAGCGAGAAACGAAGTTTGTTTTTCGATTAACTTCAGATTTTATGTTTGCTAGTTTCCTTTCTAATTAGAAAAGGTACTGTTAGATCAAGACTACATATTGAAAAATTAAATACATCTCATTTAATGCACGAAGAATTCTCACAGAGCTCTGCGCTATAGGAGAATTATAATATCATATATGAGCCAGAGTTGTGTTATAATGTCATACGGAATGATTTAAAAGAATACTGAGCGGATTTTAATTTACATATTGATAGTTACATTAAAACATTGAAATTAAACAATAATTAAAACATTGAAATTAAACAATAATTAAAAAATTGAATACATGTAAAGAATTAAGAAGATTGGATTTTAATTGTACTAATTTATTTAATCATGAACTTCAAATATCTTCTTTCATTTTTATGCGTTTCAGTGAACAAATTACGTAAATGAAAAGAAAAACATGATAAAGGTAGATATAAAATAGAAGAGATAAAGTTTAAAACAATAACAAATAGTACAGAAAATAAGAATGCATGCAATCAAATATCTGCATAAATTAGATATATTTAAATCATCACAGATAAATTAACATTAGATAAATTAACACATCATACATGTACATTTTGCAAAGTTAATTTTTAAAATATTATTATTATTATTATTATTATTATTATTTTACATTTTGCATTTAACCTTTATGTATTACTCTAAAATTTACCTTAAGGAATCCGTTTTTGAGCTCAATTCACTACTTGAACTGTATCCATATCTTCCAACCTAGCTTAAAAGCTCTGTATGGGACCTTTGTCTTCATCTTTGTACTTATTCTCCATTTAGTTAAATTTCAAAACTTCTTTCATGATAATCTGAGTTGTTATATTGCAAGAAATGTTTTTCTGAAACCATTTTACTTATATTTTAAGTAACTGCCTCCTAATACCCTATAATACCCGAAATTGCAGCATATAGAGAAATGTTATAATAGAGGGGTTACGAAACTATTTACTTCCATTAGGCCTTCTTAAAGAAGATATTTATTAAAGAACTTCTAATATAACGATTCATTAACATTCTGCGAAATACAATCAAAAACATTTCATTTCTACAATAAAAAAAATTAAGCATGGTAGCATTTTACACCGAGAAGTGGTAATCCAAAACAATAATAATAATAATAATAATAATAATTAACCTCTAGTTATAAAATAGACAAAAATACAGTCAAGCATGCTCTTTCGTGGGAAAAGTTTTAGAAACGTAGACTATAGAGTTTAATTAAACGCATATTTAATGTAACAAATATCCTTTTGATTTATAAATTTGAATCCATTAATCAATTACGCGTTGAATTCAGTTTGTTTGAAATTCCCTTTCATCTGTAGATAATATACAATGCCCTAGTAGCCTAATAGACAATCTAAAAAACATTTGTAAAGTTTGATCGCCAAAGACAAACCTTTCAAGAATATATAGATTACTTTACTTCCGATAATTTTCCTGCTTTATCAAAAATGCTTCCGTAATGTTTCACTGAATTTTAAACTATAATTTGGAGTTAAATTATCATCTTCTTTATTCCTCGTTTTTCTTTGCTTGTAGTTGTTGGAGATATTATCAGTTAAATCTGCCACTAGTATAGAAATCGTGGTTCAATTATCAAATTTTATACTGTAATAACTGTAATACCGTAATAACAGCTAATGAATATCTTATTACTTTGTTATCTTTTCAACTGCAACTTGTCTGTGTTATTAATCTATAATTAGCATATGTTGTTCGAACAGCAATTAGATATCGCATGAAATGAAGTTTGCACCAAGTGAATGTCACTGCAATATAAATGCTTTTCTACAATAAGATTATTTTCATCTAAATTTTCTTATTACCTATTATGTAGTGACTACAACAAGAAACATTATTTCTTATGCATTTATTTACTATTTTATGATTTTCGTTTTTCAACAATCGATTTTTCGGGGTTTGCAAAAGCCATTTTGAAATATTTGGAATTCTGAAAATAATGCTATATTGCCAAATATCGTTATTTTTTGTATTTTGTAACGGCATACATACTTCTATTTAGCAGCAAATATTTTTAAGTTTTTGTGTTTAAAGCTGAATACAAATGAGTGTTTTATGTAATCTTACAAATTTAAGAACTCTTAAAGAAATTTTGACTTTCCAAATCACAGATTTCTTCTTAGAGATTTAAACTCCAGTTTTCTTAGAAAACAAACAAAGAGAGCAGTTCTTCTGAGCACAAGAGAAAAGATTTGTTGAAAGGATCTGGAAAGCAGTTCAAAGGAAAAGCAGATAAGAATCATTAAAAGTGCACCCAGGAGAATTGTAAGAAAAATTCTAGTTCTTTTATTTGAAACTTCAGAAAAACTTGATTTCTTTCTGGAAATGGAGCTGACTGGAATGTGTAATAATGCATCCTACAAGCACATATTTGAAGAAAAGATAGTCATTTATCTTCATTTTGCAGAAAACGAATATTCTTTTCATTTCTGAAATATCTTTTCACACAAATCCCAAAAAATAGCTGTTTTATTTTTGTGTAGAATATATAATAATGTGTTAAATTCTTTTGAAAGTTTACAAAAATAGATATGTTCATGTGATATTCAAGATTAAAGAAAACTGTTTGCGTATTACAAAAATATCTGTTTTAGCCTTCAGGATTATGTAACCAGTTCTAAAGACGCTGGCTGCATGTGTAAGTTGTGGCTCATGTTATAAGTATTCTATAATTAAAAAACTGCATTGCCGTTTACAGAAGAAAAACGCACGCTCAGCAACTCACAAAAAGAAGAGAATAACATTCTGTATATTGTATTTCATTACAACATGCCTCAGGCCGCCGAGCCGGTATAGTGGCTACTGACCGAAACGCCGTCGCAGGACCTCCTACCTAAGGTTCTACACAAATCGAAGTTATGTGCATGCGACGCAAAAGAATCTACTATCCACCGTCGACGGCATTCATTGAATCAATTATAGTAATATTACAATGCTAAGCTGACAATGTCATCTTTACAATAGTTGTTACGTAATAATTCGTATGAAAAATAAATATGCAGTCAATTAATCGTTACATTGTCATGGATAGGATCTACGCTTTGGAGAGTGGAACTTATATATTAACCAGTCTCTAAACCTATGTCTACTTCCATACGTCACAATTTCATGTTGTGATCAGTTACACAACTAATGATCTGTGTCCGTACTATTGTTTCAGTTATCCACAGAGTAGGCCAGTCACATCAGTTCAGGCAGTTGATAGTTCCATAGACCTAAGTTTATGATGTTGTGTAGACTATTCTATGTTCATATAAACCACATTCTAAGTTAACTTTTGTTAAATTCGAAGTAGACTTTTGTCAAGTTCATTGTTCACGTAAACTACTTCGATACATCATAACTTCGTATCCTTAGCAGTTTGCACACCTCATCTGACAGCCGTAGCTATGGGCCCGGGTTCGAATCCCGAAGAAACCATGCTTGTGACAGTCCGTCCCTTCATAGGAGGCAGCAGTGGTCACCTATTAGATGTTTCGTAGAGAAATGGCCACCACTTTTAGTTGTTGTAGAGGCGCAAGGCTTTTCTCATTCACATAGAATTAAACGCTATCTTCCGAGGGCGGAAACTTAACTGCTTTTCTACCAAACGCCTTCCTCTTGCCACTTGTTACATAAAATTCCTTCTTGCGGTTTTTCTTCCAGCTCACGTAGATTCATCCACATCAAAATGATGTACTGCAGCTTCGGTTACCATTTTCCCCAGATATTTGGATAGCTTTCGGTTTAAAATGTTCATCGCTGCTAAACTGTTTGCAAGACATTTTACTTTAAAACACTGCAACCGCTTCTAAATTTTTTCAGTTCTATATAACGTTCATTCAACAGCAAATGAATTTTATTCTCAATCGTTAAATACGCGCTGCTGAGTTGCGAAATATTTGTATGTACTTATTTATAATCATCCGCAAGTATAAGCCGCATCCCTGATTTTCACCTGCATTTTTGTGAAAAACAAATGTGGCTTACGCACCAGAGTATATGGCACAATTGCGATAAAGCAGGATGTTGATTCATAATGAAAAGCAAAATTTGCAGCCGTGGGAGATTAAATATTCATTTTTATTTCAATAAAAGTTTTGCGGCCACAAACAAATTGACACATTAAACATGCCTTTTGAAGATTTATATTTTTAATACTGCTGCGATATGAAGAAAGCAGTGAAGCTTCCTTCTTCCCAGAATTACTCCGTTTAAAATTTGTTATATACATCCTCTCAAATTGCGGAGACGACGAACGAGAAAACTCTGAACTACTTTTGACAGTCAAAAATACTAGATTATTTTGAAAAAGTATCTGGAATGAACGTGGAAAATAGTTTCAGATTCTTAACACTAGATTTATGGAATCCGTCAAACTCGAACTTATGAGAAAATTACAAAATCGTTAATTTTACAATTTTCCAATTTCTGCTCACAATTATTGATATTATGAAACGAATGCATATCCAAGTTTACTTCCCCCACAATTTCAGAATCTGTAACATGTATACCTGTCTCTACGGATACCCGTGAAAATCACGGGTAAACTAGTTTAATAATGAATCGCAATAAACCGGCTTTTTTATCAAATTAATTTTCTGGTGACAAATATAAAAAGTAGAACCTAAATTAAAAATCATAATTCAGAGGAAATACCTTTCAATTACTTCGAACCCAATATCAAAGCACCACTGCTCGCGATGTCACGCGGGATATGTCACGTGGGATCATCTAATAATCGTACGATTATCTGGTAATGTTTTCCTTCATTAAAAATTAATATCTTAATATATATTCCATAAAAATAACACCAGCTCGCAAATTTTTAAATTTTAAAAACGAAGGTCCCATGAATAAATCTTCCTTAAAAATAAGTATAATATTATATCACAAATTAAATAAATTATAATGAATATATTAACCAGGAAAAGAATGAATTATATATTTGGAAATTGTTTCGAAGGGACTTTCAGTGAGAAGAATAAGTAATAAAACACAGCTAACAATAGCATTAGCACTTGGCATAGCAAGTGAATTATAACACTGCAGCAGATGAATAGCATCAATATCGTTAATGTAATAATGTGGACAATAAAATAAACTTTCCATAGAAAGACTATTATTGCCCAATTAACTAAATGTACTGAAGAAGATTTAGTCAACTTTACTTACTAGTAGCTTGTGCATCAGAAGATCTAGATGCTTGGGATAAGGCTGAAGATACACTGAAGTCCATATATTCCTGAAAAAATGTTTTCCTGGTTTATTAATTTCTTCTGTTAACAAACTTGTTTAATTAGATAATGAAAACTTCTATATCATTACATTACACAGTTTCCTTTTTCTCATATAATAAATTTCTCAGTTATACTTTTTATATTTAAAAAAAAAACTTTAAAAAAATTATAAAAACATTTTGTTATTTAATTTTTTAAGTTTATAGTAGGCAAGAAAATTTAGATATCATTTAAGTTTATTTTTTATGAAAAATATTCTATATCGCAGTCATTTTACATTCTTAATAGAATAGCTGATACTTTTATTAATACTAATTTTTTTTTAAAGTTAATAAAAAAATATATTTTTTCCTTATTATACTGAATATTTTAGTTTCCAGATTTATACCGAGTGAAGTTTGCTTCAAAAGCGAACATGGAGTAAGTTTACTACTATGAATTAAAAAGTTTCTTTAATTTTAGTTTTCCTTTTGTAATTTTTCAAAAAGTTAGCTATTTAAAAATTATAAAATATTTTTATTAGAAATTTTTGCAGTCTTAACTTTTGAAATGAATATTTTTGATAAAAAGAAATTTTTTTCAAAGAAGATGAAAGATACTGATCTTCCAATTCAAAAAAGGATTCCTATATCCTCAAATCACATACTTCTCAGCACTTTCCTAATTTTTAATTGCCTTAACATGCAACATTTTCTAACAACTGAAGCAAACATTATTGAAATTCGACATAATAATTATAATAATTAAAGTTGAAATAAGTGTGATGTTTATGCAGGTATATAGTACGTTAGCGTTACAGAAAATACTTTATTAAACGTTAATATTTAGGTTATTGGGCTAAAGTTTATTGGGCTAAATATTAAGTAACGTATAAAGACGTTAATATTTAGTGTATTCAAATATATGAAACGAATAATTTATTAGAAATATTCGCATTGAGAGGTCAAAAAATTCAGAAGAAGCACAAATTTAAGATCATAAATCAAATTAGTAATCCTTGTGCGACACTATCAATTAAATAAATCTGTACAAAATTAGAAATGTAAAACATGAATTAAATAAACGTTATTGAATTTAATACATTACTTAATATAAAATCTGTATTTACCACAGTATCTTGCAGGAGAAAGTCCAGTTTTAATACTAGCTCCTTAAAAGAGGGTCTTTCATGTGGCACATCCCTCCAACACTGTCGCATTAGATGATATCTAGAAAACAGAAATAACCCTTTCTTAGACCCAGCACTAAGCCATGTGGTAAATCGTGCTGAAATAGTATTCCAGTATTTGCTTAACTTTTATATAAGTTCTTTGATGTAATAGTTGGATTCCAGACTTGATTACTTTACAGAGGGAAAAAAAATGTGTTATGTATACCAGCCCCATTGCCATGTCTTTGTCTTTTATTGAACCATTAATTTGTATAGGTCAATCAAATGATTATCTCGGGAAAACTGCTTTCAGTACTTTTCAGTGCAATAAAATGGGTCTGGACCCACACATTTCTTTATTGTTAAATTTTAAGACAATCTTGGATTCCAGTAAGTTCGAAGATTTACTTGGACTTTACTGGAATCCAGGTGGCACCATGATACGATCAAAGGGTTACATTCCACAGCAACGCCTGAGTGGATGTCTTTGTTGAATTCTAGCTCAGTCTGTTTCTGGTATCTTTGAAGTTACAGCTTCTCCAGTTGATATTATGAGGATGTTTCCAAAGATTTTGTAATAAAGGCCACATCACATCTTAAAATTTCCTGTTCAGCTGTTGTTAATTAGTAAGATATTACGTGGCAACAATAAAAGTAGAGTGCACCTATCGATGGCTAAGCTTTTGTTAGGAGCGTGCCAGGGAAGTTCGATTCCCATTTAGGAAGAGAAGAAATTTTTCTAAGATTTTCCCTTCGATATAAACACCGATGTTCTTTCTCTATTATTTACTAGAAACATTGTGACATTGTTTGGGGGGATTATTACCATACCATATGGTATTTAAAAAAGAAGTTAATGCAATAAAATCATACCAAAGCACAAAATAAACTGACGAATCTCGGCAAAACTGGCTAATGCAAATAGATCGAATTTTTTGCCATCTGCCCAGAGAGGTCATGGGAATCAGCTTTATTATAGATCTATATCTGGTTATCAGGCAAATAGCTTGGTTTTAAACTTTGGATATAATACGCAGTTTCTCCTCGTGCCATAGCTGTGGCATTACTCCGTCTTTTGACTTAAAATGAATAAATTAAAATTCGTTTAGTTTACTATGTCAGATTCAAGAAATATTCAATGCATTTTTGATGACTACAGACTACCCATGGACAAAGAACTCTTAAACACATGTTTTGCACTTAATATTTGAAATCATTAACCCAGAAATAGTGGAAAGCAAGACAGCTAATATCTTAACAGCCAAAAGCCAGACATTTATAAATAAATGAAAAATACACGATTTTCCTTTTGGAATATGAATTCTTTTATTATCCTAATTTTGGCATAGTAACAATGTTTTGGTGATATTTTTAGCAATCTACCTACATAATTCTAATTTGCAAATTTCATGACGAAAGATTTACCAACTATAATAACATATTACTGTGATGCAATAAAATAACGATAACTACGTGTTTTAGCAAATTAGCATTAAAATAATATATTTTTATTTTTCTCTGTTGTATTTAAAAGTGTATTTAGCGTTCCTTTCGGATATTTTTGAATAACCTTTTTCTAAATTCTAAGCAAGATAATAAATAGAAAGGCAAGAAAGTCTTATGGTATTTATAGCACTACAGAGTCAATGGAAAAAATAACTTTGTCCAAAATTATCGTAGACAGCTAAAGAATAATTCGTATAAAAACACTGTATACATCTGTATATAAAATAAAAGACAATGAAATTCATTATAAAGTTCCTCCGAAAAAGGTTATCCTTCCGATCAGTTTTTCCAGTAAGATGTACTGATTTTATCTATTTTCAGGAACTGATATTTAATGGATGTTCTTCCACTAAATTTAACTCTAGATAATCAACTTAAAAGGGAGGTGGCGAAAATAAGTTAAGCTCTTTAAACTGCAGAGAATATGAAAGTATTGTTATATAGACGATATTGCAAAATACAGAAATGGCGTACACTGCTAACTACTAGAGTTTGCCTTTCATGGTAATTACAGTGCCTGCTGGAATAGAACATATAATCACATATAAGACAGTTTCGCAGGAAAACATGAATTCATGTTTGAAAATAATTTACAAAAAAATTAAATGATAAAAAAAGTCTGCTAAGAAACGTTTATCAACAAAACGGGTTTTGTTTGGCAAATTAAGAAGTTATTGCAGACCCCAAACCTGCAGAAGAAACTTTATCAAAACTCAATGCGATAAAGTGGAAAACAGACCCGTAAGTTGAATAATAAATGAAAGGAATGGTGAATAATTAATAATCATTAATCCAAAACATTACCTGGAATGAAGCAAAGTACCAGAAAATCGAAAAGCCAATGACTACAAATAATGGGTGTTCCGAATAATCCGAAAAGCAAATGGTATTGTTAATCGATTCAAAGGCTAGACTCGTCGCCAGGGGTTATTTGAAAAAGTATGGAACTGATTAAATAGATACTTATAAATGATCAGAGAATCTCCTGTTTTAGTGTGAACTCATAATTTATGATTTGTGTCTGTGAGACATATACACATAATGTGTTTGTCCGTTATGGTGGAGCTGTGGATGAGCCTGGAGTTTCGCCTGTAGTTCATTGTAAATCTATACGCACACTCCTCGCATAACCTAAGCAGTGAAGACACATCTCATGGGTGAATAAACAGCTTAAAACGAATGAAGATAGATACTAAGGAAGAAATTTTTATGTTTCAGCTGCAACGTATGTGTCGATGATTTGATAATTCCAACTAAAAAGGAAATTTCGATGGCACGCATTAAGAAAACTCTCAGCAAAAATAATTCGAAATACTGCGAAAATCATGAATTGTTGCCGAAATGGATAAAAGTGTGGACAAATATCAGTCTTTAATTGCATCATTGATTAATTTGGTTGTATCACAGCAAATCTATTAACAGACCTAATTGTTTGATGTATATTATATGCCTGCTAATATGTTTATCAGTTATCCAAAACATTTTCATTGAATTCAAGCTAAGCGTGTACTACTATATCTGAAATTCAAGTGAAAACTAAAAATAACATCTCCGAGAACAAATGAAAACCTTAAACATTATGAAGACTTAGAATGAGCCGTACTCTCGACATCCAAATTGGGGAAATGGAACACTTGCTGTAGTAAATTGAGAGTTTTTTTAGTTTCTTGCAAGAAGTTTAAAATTAATTATAATTGTTACAAAAATTCTTATTGGAAGCTTCGTAAACTTCTTAAAGATAACAATCATAATGATCCCTTTATGACACCGTAACGGTTATTTATGACATGTTACGACTAAGTTAGAGTATTTAATTTCCCTGAAGACACCTCAGTTTTTTTTAAAGGAAACTCTTTCTTATTATGTTAAACAGAATTAAATAAAACATATGTCTATCATTAAAGTCAAATTACTGTACAACATGAGATTTAAAAATTTTCCCTTGCTGCAGTTTTGAGGTTAGAAACGTATATATCTAATTGCGCGCATAAGTGTTGGAAATGTTTGAAAATGAAACAATTAAATTAAATAACCCTTTTGAATTTCAAATTTTTTTTTTAATGGCAAAGGGAATTTTTATAATTAGCAAATATTAAAAAAATTCTTTAAAATTTTATTTATTTATTTATTTTATTTACAAATCCATCTCTTTTGATACGTAAGGTGATATTGCAAAATAAAGAATATTATTTCATTAACCTTCTTGCCTTTCAATCGTTTTGAGTTGCCGAATCAAAATAATTGAGTATTAACCCATGTTTAAATGTGTCTGTTCGTGAAATACTTAATATTAGTTGCATCTATATTTGAAATTATTAAATCTTCGTCCTCTATCTATCTCTCTCTCTATATATAAAGAAGCGCTAATAATTCAGTCACTACTATAGCTATCGTCACCAAACTTTCTATAATTATTTTTCTGGGTCCTGGAAAAGTAGACGTCTACGTTTTTACAAAAAAATTAGCTAAAATCGGAGATATTAATAAAAACGCTAATTTTCGGCCTCATTTTTCTGAGTGGCAACACTGCTGATATCAGCAACAGTGATATATCAGCAACAATGGCTGCGTGCCATTCTTGCTGATATGATAAGAGAGAGAGTTAATTTATTTTTCTATCGCAATTTTTATGTGAGTTCCATATTGCTCAAAATATTTCATTTTGCTCAAAATAATGATTTATTTGTTTTTATTTACATAAATGACAGTGGCAATTCCATATATCATATGGGTATATATAACATAGGATTCCATATATCATATGGGTATATATACCATTGTCAATATATACCCATATGTCATATAAGTATATATTGACAATGGGAATTCCATATGTCATATGGGTACATATACCATATGATTCTGTTATTATGTAGTCAGTTGTGGTACATGCATTGAATATTACTTTGTTTCTTTGACATTTTTTATGCATTACAATGACGAATCATATTCCTTATAACGTGTAATACGCTATCATACGGATTTTCAAATGATGTCCTGAATAAAGTAATACTCATGACATCATTTGAAAATTCGTATAACTCAACCTAACGTAACTGGCATCGGGTACTTCCCCTAGTTTGAAATAATTGAAAACAGTTAGAATAGTAGCATAAATTATTGCTGACATCGTAGATAATCCTTTACCATTTATTTGTCACATTTCATTCGGATTATGGCTCTTGAACGTTATCATTTAAAATACTTTAAAAAGCGCAGTTCCTTCCTTTCAAATTTGCGGATTGGATATTTTAAGAATCAGAGCTAAAAGATTTCCTTGCTAAAAACCAAAGTAACTAAAAGGATTTTTATTGTAATAAAAGATGCTACATGACTAAACGTTCGCCATGTAACAAAGCTTCATATTTGATTAAGTTTTAAAATACGAACCCTGAATTTTAAACAATCGTTTCAGTAACCATATAAAGCAACGGCTATTGCAATCATTTGAAATAATTTTCTGTTCTAATGTTTTGTAAATATTTGGGTTTATTTGATTGAATTTAGGATTTCATGCATTTTTATAGTTTCACGTATTGATTTGCTTCATTAATTAATTTATATAGTCATTTTACACGTAATGCGTTTATTGTGAATCGAATTTGTCGCCACTTGTTTTGTTCAAAAGTGGTTAATAGTGAGTATACTTTGTAGAACTGAATTCGAATATATTTGTAGATCTGAAAATTCTGAATGGACCAATGTTTGAATTTAAAAAATATGGGCACAAACCGACCTTTGGCGATAATTGATGGTTTTTTTCCGGTCTGACAACATTTGACATCTATATATAATAGAATTCGGAAATATGCAACCGGCAACAATGAAAAAACAAATAAAATAAATAAATATCTTTATTATGTGCGGTTTAAGTGTCTGTTTGTTGGTTGCTTGCGTAACTGCACTAACCAATGGGATGAAGTTGCCACGGCACAGGGGTGCAGTTTCAATTGAGACATAGACAATTTCTTGTAAAACTTGCCTTTGCTATGATTTAAGTCTCAGGGCCTAAACGCTTAAACGTGTTGGCAATTTTTTTTAACCTGAACCTGCATTTGGACACGGTCAACTTTATGTTTCCTATTCAAGAGTTCGTGAAAGAACCAACGTAAAATTAAAAATAATTGATGGTCCTCTGCAAGGCATGCTTAAAAATGATAGAAAGATCTACACAAGAAATGTTGTCTACAAAGTGATCTTTGACATGTGAACTAACATTTTATTAATTAAATCATTTTTATTTATTGAGCTAGCTGTGGCTCTTAAGAAATGTACCGCTAGTGGTTTCCTTCATTACACTCTATTTTAAGCAATTAAGCAAGTAGAAGGGTGAAACCCCGTGGGGCAGTAAGCAAAGGAGGCGACCTTGCTCAGCCTGCCCCGAGTAATTCAGTTTAATTAGCAGACACCTTTGCACAAAAATCATTTTAATTACAATTTATAATATCTAGAACAGCTGTCATTTCGTATGACCGCCGGGCTTTCTAGTACTAAATAACTTTGAAGCCGTGTGAAGAAGGACAGAGAAGTCGGTGTATGACCTGGGCTAGGTGATTGATTCCAAGGAATCGATCTTTAAACTCGGTGAGTAATGTACATTTTTGTCAACAGGGCTATTCGGAAACTCTTGATATAACTTTGTAATCCAGTTAAGGGCCGTTCAGACTGGGGTTTATCTGAGCTAACGCAGTCAGTACCATGTGTAGACTAGCTCTGCTATGCGTATGGTTAGGATTTTTCAACTGCGGTATAAGGAAAAACTGGTTTTGAAGACGGGTCGGCCAAGTCAGTTGTATCCGTTAGCTCAGATAAACCCCGACGAGATGCTGGTGGAAACTGTTACCTTGTGTGATTTCAGTTTCAGAGGCAGCTGCATCGGCGGGGATGCGTTAAACTGAAGTGGTAGAAATTAATCAATGGAAGAAATAGAAACTAAAACTTAGAAATGAGAGTAGGAAGATCATCTTCTAAATGTTATCGTCGTTTGTATTCTTAAAGTCATTTTACTAATTTATTTTTCTTTAGGTCATTTTACTAAGTTTACTAATTATTGTTCTACATTTTACTGCTTTAAAGCTACATTCTGCTGTCTATTATGGCTGATAAGACTGCTATGGGTAATATAGTGGACTCGCCTGTTTAGAATGACTCCTTTTTCAAATAACATATTTTTCTTTAAATATTTTTCTTTAAATATCATGTTCATTATAATGCTATTGAAATGTTTCGCAAAGCTGCTCTAAACCTGTGCGCATTTTCACAATTAAAAACATAGATTACGGCAATCATTACATCAAACAAATGTTGAATGCTATCTTTTGTTTTGTTTTTCTTTTTTTTTATTTATTAACCAAAAGGGGCGTTAGCCTAGAAGGGATATTACTCTTGAAACGGCATTTTGCGCTGAATTACTTAAACGCGATGTATCCCTTTCCAAATTGTTGCCACCAAGTATTACCGTCCTGTATTATATTTAAAGAAACTAAATAATGAAAAATCTGCATGAATGTATGTATATTTCTCGCATTCTAAAAAAACAATGGTACCTAGAGTCATAAAATGTTGAATAAAATAGTCCTCCACCCGAACATGAGCATCTGGAAACCCGAATTTGGTTTATTATCTATTTTATATTTTGTAAACCTTTAACGAATTTTTGATTAAAAATCTCAATAACTTCAAAGGAAGAAGTGGCAACACTGTAGGGAATAAAATATTATCTCCAGCGCGCAAGACTGTCTATCAGAAATTCTAAAAATATGCCGTTTTTAAATATTTTTAGCCCAAAACGGGGTTAACCCGAATGCTCTCGAATCGTGTCTATATCAAGCTCCCGTTTGAGTGTAATATATTTTACTTTTTACATTATTATTTTATTTATTTATTTATTTATTTTTTTGTGTTAAAGTGAGCATTTTGTACGAATTTCCTTTGATTGCTCATAAAAGTGTTATGTGGATCTCTTCTGAAAGCGAACTGGCAAACAATTAACATTTTTAAAACATAGTTATATATACGTGGAAAATTAAAAACTATGCATATGTAGAAAATCAATAAAATAAAATTTGTCAACATTAATGTTTTCTCGGGAAGTATTTAATTTAGACTATCTATAATTTGTATGGACTACACCAAAGGAAAGTCTTTTAAAAATTAGTCATTTGCAAATGCATACTTACACTTCGTCAGAACAAGAGTCCGGTTTACTCATCCTATATCCTGCTTTCAAAAGATTGTAAAGTCTTTGAGGCGTTACTCCTGGGTAAGGTGTTGCCCCTATATATAAAAAATATGTGATTAAAATATTTCCCTTTATTAACAGTTCTACATTCTATTGCATATTACTTAGTTTTTTATTCTGTTGTTATTCTGTTGAACGCATCTGTAACATTTAAAAAATTTATTTAAATATACTTTACATTTAATCTATATATACTACCAAATATAAAAGACTATTATATATTTTATAATAATTAAAATACATATACAGAAAAGTTGCGGGTTATTGTATATTGCAGTAATAGATTATTACTTTGAAACGCGTACAAACTATAATATAATAAATTTTAATTAAAACAAAAAAATACAACTGAGGTAATTATTTCATTTCGAAAAATTACATAAGTGCAGTAACATATGAATTCCGACATTAAAAGTTTGAAAAGGATACAAGTTGCCCGGAATTAAATTCTGCTTTGATGTGCATCTATAAGACTAACAAAAATCCCAAAAAAATGAATGAAACATTTGCGATCTAAGACCCGCACATTGCAGCCTAATTCCACAAAGAAACGTTTACTACAAAAATCTAAACAAATTGATTTTTCTGAATTTGATTTCTTAAGAACCAAATAAACCAAAGTCAATGTACAATCAGTGTGCAAATCAGTGTATAAAACAATTTGGTTTATGAGAAGAATTCAACCACGGAAGTATTTTGCCTTAGCAGTGCGCATTTTTACAGAAAATAATTTTTTAATTTTCCAAGAATTATTGAAGCAAGAATTTATTATTTGAATCCGTATTTCCATATATTGAAAATGAATAACAGGAAAAGAAATTCTTTAAGGATAGTCGGTTGAGTTTCGATTGGATTGGACTACGGCAAAGACTCAAGGGCTATTTGCGTAAGGGAACGGATACTGTTAAGGAGGACTTCTTAAGGGAAACTGGCTCTCTAGGAAAGCCATGAAAACTTGCATGCAACTATAGTACAACTCCCGTTATCCGAACTCCGACTATCCGAATCGCTTTCAGAATTTAAGAACAAAATTAAGTGTGGCCACATACTACTTTTCATTGTTAAGCGGACGCCCGACTTGGCTGCCCGAAAACGGATGAAGACAGTCAAACAGCTTACTTTGACCGAGATGTTCAGCAAGCAGTGACTTCTAAGTACTGTACAGTACGCTAAGTACGCTTCTAAGTACTGTACAGTACATGCGCGTAAAAGTGTTGCTTTTTCATTTTAATTAATTAACACCACTTTTCTTTAAAAATAGATTTTTCTCCCATTTTCAACATACTGTACACACAGTAATTAATTAAAGTATACATAAACCCTGTCTTCGAAAAAATCCAATTATCCGAATGGGGTCCGTTCCCAATTGATTCGGATAATTGGAGTTCTACTGTAGCTCATTCTTGGGATTTTCGTTTAAAGTCGAACTACCAGTGTTCAGCGATCTTACCTTTCGGGCACAAAGGAAATTGAAAGATGCCAAATTATGAAACTACATCTCTGTTGTTGAAGAAAATTAAAACAATTTAAAATTAATTCCAGTTGTAAAAGATGCTGTGTTTGATTCTGAATCTCCTTTTTTGAGAGTAATATAATATAATCAGAAAAATATTAAAATATTGCAGACGATTATTTCCCATCTAACAAAATGTAAAAAAAGAAAAAAAAAATCATTAACAAAACTTCAGCTTCATCGTTCTATTTTAATTCAGATGCAGACAGTTTTGTAAAAAACCGAAAGTTCGAAATTTTATAATCTTTTTTTATTTAAGATACTAGAAATTTATTTTATCCATCACACTTATTGTGTAAAATATTAATTTCTATATTATTAAGAAGTAGAGATTAAATAAATTTCGTACGCTAATGAGCAATAAACATTCGTAATATTCGAGATAAATAAAAGAGATTGTGCATACTTAATTGGCAATAACATGCTGTTCTTGTTTCTGATCTTCGTTTTTAACAAACAGAATTAGTTTAAAGAGGAACTATAAGTTTTTAGAAAATCTGACACTGGTCTCTTTTTATCAAGCAGTAAAGTTGTCAGACTTGAAAAAAAGTCTTGAAGCTTTATTGAACAAATCCTAAATACCAAAATATATGTTCATAGCACTATAAATTTCCTTGAAACTACTTTTACTAATTCTTTTAAGAATGGAGAAGTTATTTGGCGTCGCATTTAATGCCGAATATCAATATCCAGCTCTTCCATCGGTTAATATTATCAAGTCTGGAGCATAGAAGTCTAACAAAATTTTTAGGTAATCTTTAAATTTCTGTGTAAAATATTTTAGTTTAAACTTAGGAAAGAGATAGATTCTCGACCTCCTGCAATATTTTAAAATTCTTCAAATTAGTATCTTACTTAAAACTACTATTTGAATCTAATGTTATGCAAGAAAAATTATTTTCAAAATGGCGAAACGCTACTGATTAAAAGAAGCCTGCTAGGGAACAAAATAACATTTGAGAAAGGTTTATACTATCTGGTATACTTTTTGGAAGGTGTATACTTTTCGAGCATTTAAAAATATATAAAAAACACACAAATCGTTAAAAAATGTCCCTTTGGACGTAATTTAAAACCTGAAACTTTTCATTTTTTTTTTAAAATTATTTATTTTATTTTACATATTCTTAAGAAATTCTTTTTTATTAATTTCCTTACATAGGCTGTTTCATTTTAATTACATGTTTGAAATTACTAACTCATTATAAAATTCGCGAGGCAAAAAATTCACTTAGTATAATGCATTACAGAAAATGTATTTGTAGCGAAGGAAAAGCATCAAAATATTTATTTTGATGCTTATTAAACCTTTTCCTGTTCGGGACTGGTGTATTTTTTTCCGTTCTGAAAATACATTTGTGCAAGTGACTGACGACGCGGGGAAAATTGGCATATTATGCTTCTATTATTATTTTTTGTTTGAATTTATTTTATTTCTTTATAACAGAAATATACTTGATAATAGATTTTAATAATATAAAGCACATAATCTATACAATTAAAACCTGTGTGCCTCTGCCGGTTTTTTTGTTTGTGGCATTATCGCCTCACTAATGGGGGGGGGGTGACATTCGAGAATTCATAGGAAGCAATTTCGACAATTCTCATCTTCGTACGACTAATGAGCGGATATATTAATTAAAAATTCTGAAAATGCTAATTTTCGAACTCATTTTTCAGAGTGGCACCCATTTTTCAGAGTATCATACGCTGGAGATAAATATTTGCTTTGTTTCGAAAAGTGTTGCGACTGCTCGCTTTCAAATCGTAGTTTGTTAATATAAAATTTGTATGTTTTAAGAAATATGAAATAAAAATTGCATTGCCAAACATTAATTATATATTTATTATTATATAAGGCAATATTCTGACGTTGAAGAAAGGACGCGATTGCATGTGACGTCATTGTATGTCGAAAATATTTTCATTAATGTCAGCATTTTAAATAAATAGCTGCTATTGGCAACTTTTTTGCTTCAGGTTAGGATAATTGACTGCCACATTAATTCTTTTGTTGATATTGAGAAAATGTTGACATAGTATTACGTTAAATTTAAATCATAACGTTATATGTATTAACCTGAATCAGTTTCGAATATTTTCGAATGTGCTCTACTTAAATAACTTACCCTAAACTTTGATAAAATTTCAATTTACTGCATTAGAACTACTCCGAATAGGCAGGGTAATGCTCAGCTTCCTCATACAACTTCATTCAGTAACTTAATGGATAGTGAACGACAACATTTAACAGCTTTTGGCTTTTACCGTTACAACTAAAAGCACTTATGGAAATAAGCAATCTTTTTTCTCGGTCAGTGGTTAACAGCAATATATGAGAAGGAAAAAATCTCGTTTTTTAACAACTTATTTTTAATAAAAAAGGAAATAAATGAATAAAAATAAAAATAGCACAAAATAAAGTAACCTGACGAAATATTCCTTTTTAAAGATATACTATTTTAAAATATAATAACTTAAAATATAGTTAAATTCTTTCATATATAACTTACTTTAAAACAGTGCATAGTATTATTGTGATAAGACAAAAACTTGCTTATTATTATTGTCGACTATAAAAACCAGTGCTATATTATTAAACTCAAAAACTGAGAAATCACTTAAATTTAAAATTTTATCTTCACATATCACTCTTGCTTACAATATATAAGTTGCTCAATGTAGTTATATTTTACTTCTATAAAACACGTAACTGATGCCAGTAATCACAGCCTAGCGACTTTCATATGCCTTTTCTCCATGAGTAAATATCTTTGCTTTCTAATTCTATTTGTCTAGACAACGGATTAACTTTCATTAAGACGTTAGATACCCCGAGAATCAATTTAACGACAACTTGCTCTTTCTCTTTTTTGGAATTTTACAAGCTAATTCTAAGCCATCTTTCTCTAGATGTACAGAAACGATGTAAATATAGCAGACTCTAAAAAGCAGGAAATATAATTGAATAATCCTAATAATTAAAAATGATAATCAATTTCTGCAACTTTCTTAAGCCTGCTATATTTACAAAAAAAGTTATAACTACAAATAAAATCAAAATATTTTTAGAACAATCTTGTGCTAACTTTTCCATCAAAGGGCTAAATCAAGAGTTTAAAAAAAGGACAGTCCATAAGTAAAGTACTTTTTTCAGACATTAATTGTTATTATAAGTAAACGTCAGCTCTAACATAAAAATAATTAAATGTCTAACAACCAACAGTTTAATGAGACGCTTGATGCTATTTTACATCTTTTACATTTTTGTTTAATCCCATGCTTTATATTTGTAGTGAAGATTCTTAAAACTGCTTGATCATCGGTAATTCTTTACTGTAAAAAAGTTAAAGATTCATGTTACAAAACGTTTGCTCTAATATGTAGGTTGATACAAAAATGTCGATGTCATTCCTTGAGCTTATCTGAATCAAGGCTGCTGTAAAGTTTGGAGATTTTTTCACGACTTTGCAATTTTCTTCAATCATATTATCACACCGAGACCTCTGTAATTTCAAGTTA